TTCATTCTGTATTAGTAAGTCAAATTTAAGTGTTCTTCTCCTTTAATTGTAATCTTTAGTTTCTTCTAGTTCCCACTAGTGTCCAACCTTCAAAATCCCATCCTATCATGTTTTTTTTTTTTTAAAGAATCCAAACGTATTTTCCCGTGGGGAGGATTCTTATAATTAATTACCAAATCTTATTTCAAATTTATCTGGGCCCTTAGTCCATTTGTAATTTTCTGAAATCAAAGTTTTAATCACCCTTTTGCTGTTATTTATTTATTTATTTATCTTCCTTAAACTTGTATTTAAAACTTCTTTCCCTAAGGATTGAAGGAAACTCACCCAGTGCCATAAAAATGGTTGATCCAAAGGCTCCTAATAGCTGAAAGGCAGTTAACAAGCAATTTCCGAAAGTGATTAGAAAAGGAAGTATGCAAACCCAGTGTCCTTTCAAAGGCACTAACTGTGATTTGAGCAAGATGGCTATTCCCTCATCTCCAGAGCTCTAAACCCACCGGAGACCACTGTCTTGTGATCTCCTCGCAAGGAGCAACTCTATCGAGCGCTTGTGGGCAATCTCAGGTCTTCTCCTTGTCCAGAGAGGAATCACAAAAAGCCGGTCTACTTGCCAGCTCTTCATCCTGCCGTGGTCGTTGGGTCTGCTTTTAGCGGAGCCGTCTTCAGTTCACCATTTCTTCCACAGAAGATATCTCTTTTTCTAATATTATTAGATGGAATAAATGTCCTTTCAAATTATACTTGCTCCATGCTGCTTCTAATGGTATATCTGTTACAAACAGAGGAACACTTCTAGCCAACCACAAGACAGAAATATCAAAAATTTAAATTACCTGGAGGGACTATCTGTACATTCTGCTCATCCAGCTCTTCTTTTTGTGGGACCAGGGCTATAAACCTGGGAGGGCTGTTTTGACGAGGGATGTATCTACATATGGCCATCACTCCTTTCTCCATACACTTTGTTAACAAGGCATTAAACAGAGTAGTACTTCCTATAAATCAAAGTCCATTTTTGGTTAAATTATTCTGATGCTTTGGGACTCTTCAAAATAATCAAGATGTTATAGCAAGTTTTCCCCATCATGCATGTGAAGGCTAGTTTTGCCTTTTATTTGTCCTGGGACTCTTTTTTACATGTGGAGGTCTGTAGTCTTTTCCCACATTTCTTCTTACAAATCTCATCATGTGGAACTTCATCACCAATATCAAACCTGCCTTCTGATGAGCTACATCAGAATCGGGATAGTGGGAGTACAGTTCTCTTCATCCTATTAGAGCTCTTGGTTGCTTTTGATACTATCAATCATGTTATCCTTCTGGTCTACTTGACAGTTAAGAATTGGGACACTGTATTACAGTGGTTCCACTTCTTCCTCTCTGGGCAGAATCACTCAACCATTGTAGGGATAATAGGTTAAACACTTTTTATAAGGGGTCCCACAGCACTTGGCACTCTCCCCCATTCTACTAAACATTTATATGAAGCTAATGGGGGAGGTCATCCACGGATTCAGAGTAATTTATGATCAATAAGATGATGATACACAACTATATATCTGTACTTGGTGCCTAAGAGGTGATGTTCTGGAGGACTTTACCCAGCTTCTAAAGGCTATAAGGGTCAGGATGGGACAAAACAACTGAGTTCATACTAGCAAGATTGGGAGTGGCTATTTGTTCATCAACCACATGATAGTTGGGTGCCCTCCTGCTGGCTGGGAGGGGATGGCACTGTCTCCACTGTCCACAATAGGAAGGTGGGGAGGAGGGGGTTGGACTCACTGGCTTAGGAATAAGGTTTTTCCATCACTGCATCAATCCACTCCTATGAAATAAGCTGCACCCCAGCATTTAGATGGCCCCATTTTATTTTTCAGAAGCTATTGGGACTGGTTGTTCTGCCAAGCCTGATACCTGTGTTGCACATTGCTTAACCATCACTGTTATTTGATTTTGTTTATGATTGCTATTAACATGGGAGGTTTTTTGGTTTTTATTATGTTGTATGTTAATTTTATAAGCTGATTTGAGTAATTTAGTAGCATATAATGCTGGAAATAAATAAGATTTAAAAACCTTATTTGCTAATGACATTTATTCTGGATTCTTTTCTGAAGCCTATCAATTATGTCTAGAAAATTCATCTTATTCAGGAATTCTATTGCTGTTGGTATTGTTGCTGCTGGTGTATACTAGAACTTGTTTACTCTAAAGATAAAAGACTATAATTTTCAATTATAATTACCATTCATTAAGAACTCATCAGGATAGATGAACTGTGCAGGCTTGATATAGTGATATTGTTTTAGCATTGCCAAGGGTTTAAACCCAATTAGATACAAGCCTGGTGAATCAAATCTTTTTATTTCTTCCGTCTCTTCTTTCTCCAGCACAATCTGACGATTCCCATAAGTCTAAGAAGGGAAATGAGGACAAAGCAGTTGCTATAAAAATTGTAGCAAAAATGGTCATAGTTGCAAATAAAGAAGCCTATTGGATTCCTCACAACAAGACAGTAGCACATAAATCAAATTCCATACTGACTGTGTAAGAAAGGAAGAAAAGGACAGATATTATCCCTGAGTTCAGACTCTACTCTTGAAGCGTACAAGCTCATCCAAAGCACACTGCAACTTTCTCCCTCGCTTTAAGCTCAGTGTGGGATTGAGGCTCATTTTCAACAAAATAAATACATTTATTGCTACCAGATTCTTATGTTCCTTACTTACGTTCATTTATATCCTACCTTTTCTCCAAAGAATTCTAACATGGGAATATAGTCAGTTACATAATTTAAAAATACAGGTAGTCCTCGATTTATGACAATTGGGACTGGGAATTCTGTCAATGCAGTCATTAAGTGAATTGCACCCAATTTTATGACCTTTTTGCCATGGTCATTAAGCAAATCACGCAGTCGTTAAGCGAATCTGGCTTCCCCCATTGACTTTGCTTGTTGGAAGCCTCCTGGGAAGGTTGCAAATGGCGATCACGTGACCCTGGGATGCTGCAACCATTGTAAATACATGCTGTCTGCCAAGCACCCAAATTTTGATCACCTGACTGAGGGGACACTGTGACAGTCCTAAGTGCGAAAACCAGTCATAAGTCACTTTTTTCAGCGCCGTCATAATTTTGAACAGTCATTAAATGAATGGTCATAAGTTGAGGACTACCTGAACTTCAACCACCTTTGTGAGAGAGAGCCAATATCACTGGTAAAAAAACAACCAGATAAAGTATGGATACTCTCAGATAGTCAGATTTTCTATGGTTTGGATTACATTCCAAAAAAGTGTTTCAGAGCACACAGAGGTACAAGCACAGCACTTGTTTGCAACTCCTTAAGCAGCTGTGTCTGCCACAGAATTCTAGGAAGAGATGCAGCTACTCTGAAGCACTGCAGAAAGGTGCTATGTTCATGTTCCTGCATACTCCAAAGCATATTTCTGAATTATTTCTGAACCATTGCACAGCCTTAGTGGATAGTGGAACAAGAATATACTAAAAGAATAATCATTTTCTCTCAGCCTTCAGAACCATACATAGAAATCTGCATATTTTATTTAAAATATACAGACCCTGGGCTAGAATGGGAACCAAGACCTTTTAATTGGTTAGTTGGTTATTGGCTATTTGGCTTTTTGGGTAATGGTTCCATTAGCTATCTTCTTTTTTCCTCTTGATGTATTTTGTTTTCTTTTAATTTTTACCTGTAAACTACACTGCAGAGTCACTTGGATTTGGACAGCCTCAGAATTGAAATAATCATAAGCAATAAAAATCACATTTCACTCAATTTTCAACCAAGACATACTCAAACAAAAATAAATATTGCCATAAAAGCCATGCACAAAAATAATCCCAATTAGTTTGTAGTTTAATGTTTGCAAAACATTTAGAAGACTTAAGGATCTGATCTATACTAGCCCTAACTTCCAACTTGTACACTTGCCTTAGCAACGGAAGATATCTGACTGCTAGCAGTTTTATGATAGTTGTACTTGAAGAAAAATGAAATGTAGAGAAAATACATAATACAAATTCCAGTATTTGGTACAATAAGGCCCAAGAGATGCTAAGGCATGAATTCTTGATCTTTGTTAATCCAACCCAGACACCTAATGGTAAAAGTTACGAAAAATAATACATAAATAATTTTAAACAGCATTAGACATTGCACAGTATCACAGCTAGGAAGCAACTGCCCAGGTACTTAAGTCAGGATATAATGGCTTCTACACCATTATAAACATTATGATGTACTATCCCTCAAAATTCTTTAACATGGAAAAAAGAAAGTTGAAAATTAGTATAAAGATCTCAAGTTACATTACCTGAGCCCTCTTGGTGTCACTAGGAAGAAGCAAACTACCTGTCTCTCGGTTAAAGGTTCGTGTTTTTGTTTTCAGTGGCTCATTAGTTTCTCTGTAAAGTTTCACTGGAGGCTGCTTGACAGCCTTCTGGACTAAGTTGAAAATGCCAACAATAAGAGTTACATCTTTTCCCAAATACAAATTCAGCCTAAAGAATCAGCAAACACAAATTTAAGTCTTTGAAAACTTATACAATATTTTAATTTCCATTTTAAACAGATGGTAAGCACATCACAAGATTCTCATCTGAAAACACAGTAAAATAAATTTTCCACTATTTAATATTATGTATGATTTAACATAATTTTCTGTTATTATCATTTCTCCAAAGTCTCCCAGATTACCCTGCAAGAGGAGGAGACTGTTTCCTGATACTCACCTACTTAAAGCTCGCTTCCGTGTTTCTTTTGCTCGTACTTTCTTCATCAGGTCCTCCAATTTGCAAGACTCATCAAACTGGATTCCTAAATCCTCATCATCTGCTGTATTAATGATGTCTCTGTAGAATAAGGAAATATCAAACCCTCCAGGCTTCTTTAGGTTCATTAAGTCAAGGTAAATACCTGCAATCACAGAATTGTAAAAAAAAAAAAAGAGTTTGTTTCCTACATGAGAACATAGATATCATCATTCCATTTCTTATGGTAATCTCCAGGTATGCACAAGACAGCATTTATTGGACATAGAGATCTCCAAGATCTGAAGAAAAGATTTTTTTAAAAAAAGCATCTAAATGAGGGCAGGGAAGGCATCAGAAACCATAAATTGCAACATTTAAATATATGGGCAGCTACATAAATTGAAATAATCATAAATAAAAGCCTCATGAGGACTAAGACTAAGTAAAGTCAGTAAAAATATAAAGATTGATTGACTGACTGTTTGGGGAAAGAGATGGAAAGGAAGAAGAGAGAAGAATGGCTGTCTGAATTCCCAAACAGAAACACACCACAGTGCAAAATTTTGTTGTTGCATGTTCTACTTTGCAGTTTTTATTTTGCAAAAAGGTTTTGCTACACCCACAAAGTTAAGAGATCCAAACTATGAAGTAGCATGAAACAAGGAGCATGTAAAGTATACATTAGTCTTGTAGTAGTAAGCCCACATGACTGTATTCAATTAGTCTGCTGGCACATTCAGCTACCAAATCCCTCAT